TATTTTAAATCAGTATAAGGAATTTGAAAGTGAACAATTTCATACTGAAGTGCATTTTTCGCAGCACTATCAGCCTTAGTGTTTCCAGAGATACCAATATGACTTGGAATCCAACAATATTCAACAATTTTACCTTGATTAATGAAATTATGGTATTTGATTAAGATATCTAAAATGTATGGGTGATGAATGTTCATACTGTTTATGGATTGTAAACAGGAGAAGGAGTCTGAAAAAATTGTAAACAAGTTATCACTAGATGATTGTATATAGTCAAATGCAAGTTGTATTGCCTTTGCTTCGGCTGTAAAAATTGTTGCTTCATTTGGAAGTCGGGTAGAAAACACATTATTTTCAACCACTGCAGCGGCAGCAACTTTATTTTTGTCTTTTGAACCATCTGTATAAATCTCGATTGTGGAATGCTTGGATTGTTTAAGTTCTGCTAATTTTTGTTTGAAAACGATGGGATTTGTTTCTGACTTTATGAATTCTGTTAGGGCAGTATTTACAACTGGTTTAATTAATTTCCATGGCGGTATTGCAGAACGAGTAGTAGATTTTACAATATTCAAAGGTAGCTCGGAATCCCTGATATGATTTTTATATCTAAGACCAATTGATTTAATGCATTTTTTTTTATTATATAAATTTTCATGCTGTGGATGAAACACACAGTCAAATGCTGGGTTATCTCTATTGGCTTTCAATTTTATGAAATATTGTAAAGTTAGTTTTATTCTTCTTAAATCGAGAGGTGGCTCATTTGCTTCAACATATAAACTGTTTACAGGGGAAGTTCGAAAAGCCCCTAAGCAGAGCCGAAGTCCTTGATGGTGGATTGCGTCAAGCGCTTTTAGGTAAGAGGTTCTTGCTGATCCATATACAATACAGCCATAATCTAATTTTGATCTTACTAAAGAGCGATAGAGTTTAAGAAGAGTACTCTTATCCGCTCCCCATTTAGTATTTGCAATAACTTTAATAACATCTAGAGCTTTAGTACATTTTTCTTTAAGCATTTTGATATGAGGAATAAAGGACAGTTTTTTTATCAAATATGACACCTAAAAATTCAATCTCTTTAAGTACTTTTATTGTGTCGCCATCTAATTGCAAATGCGGATCATCATGGGTTTTTCGTTTGGAACAGAAATGTACGCATGCAGTTTTGTTTTTTGAAAATTTAAAACCATTCTCTTCGGCCCAGTTTTGTATTTTGTTTAGACAAGACTGTAATTTTCGCTCAATTGATTTCATATTTTTGGATTTGTAACAAAGGACAAAGTCATCAACATATAAACTCCCAAGCATGTTATTTTTAAGTACTTCAGCTAAACTGTTTATTTTTATACTAAATAATGTGACTGAAAGGATACTTCCTTGCGGTACACCCATTTCTTGGTTATAATTGTTTGAGGTTGTAGACCCTAAACGTACATTAAAATTTCTGTCATTTAAAAAATTCTTGATAAATATGGGTAAATTTCCTTTGAGGCCAATATTAAAAAGATCTCTCATGACACCATATTTCCACGTAGTATCGTATGCTTTTTCCAAATCAAAAAATATAGATACTGCATGTTCTTTTTTAACAAAGGCATCTCGTATATAGGTTTCCAGCCTTACTAGATGGTCTATTGTACTTCGTTTTTTTCTAAAACCACACTGTATATTTGTTATAACATTATTAGTTTCAAGAAACCATATCAAGCGTTCATTGATCATCCGTTCCATGGTTTTGCATATGCAGCTTGTTAAAGCAATTGGTCTATAGTTATTTGGATCTGCATGGTCCTTTCCAGGCTTTGGAATAGGAATAATTGTTGCCTGTGTCCAGGATTGTGGAAAATTACCTTTTTCCCAGATCGTATTAAAAATTTGCAAAAGACATTCTTCGCTGCTTTTTGGAAGGTGTTTAATTAATTGAATTTTTCCATGACTTTCTTTTTCTGTAATTTATAGTTCTTCGGGCTTTTGCTCGGAATATCCGAAAATTATTAAGATTTATAGAAGATGGTGATTTGTGAAAAAGTCTTTCTGCTTTTTTGCGAGCTTTAATAGCTGCATCGCATTCTTCTGTAAACCATGGTTTTTTGATTCTAGTAGAATTCGTTGAGGTTTTAGGTATGCACTCATTTGCCGTGTTTAATAAAATTTCAGTAAATTTTTGAATAGGGTCAAGATGATTTTCAAATTTATCCGCCGAAATATTTTGTGAACATAAGTATTTAAATTGAGTCCAATCCGCCTTGTTTAATTTCCAGTGTTGAATACAACTGTTGTTTGAAGGTTTGTTTTGTTTAATAATGATAGGGAAATGATCGCTTCCGCACAGATCGTCATGTACGGACCAATCGAAATCTAAAAGTAAAGAAGGGTCCACTATACTGATATCTATCGAGGAATATGAACCATTTCCTGGATGTAAATAAGTGTTTGAACCGTCATTTAATATACATAAATTGTGATGAAAAACCGAATGGAAAGTGTTACTTTTGAGAAAGATTAAAACTGCAGTTTCTTCTTGGATTTGCTTTTTTTAACAACTTAATTTCCTCGCGTTTGCTTTCCCTGAATTTGTTCTCCCTAACTTTTTTTTGGTTTCTGGACAAATTAAACCTTGATTTCACTCTTGTTGTTGTTTTTTAACTACTGTCCGGTTTTGTTATCACTGCCGTCCGATAATGTATTATTGGACTGTTAATTATTATTATCGGACGGCTACAGGTAAATTTTTACGTTTTGACGTTGCAGATTGGAGACCCCCGCCCCCACGTCCGTAAGGTATCTGACGTCAATGCCTGGATCATTATCCGAGAAGGGATCTGTTAGTATATATGTAGCTGAGAACATCAAGCTGAACAACGTTGGGGCAAGAACACAGCCTTACTTGACCCCATTTGTGACCTCAAAAGGAGCAGATTGGTTGCCATCATCAAGAACGTGGGCCTGCATGCCATCACGAAATTGACGCACCATGTTGATGAATCTTGGTGGGCACCCAAATTTCTCCATTATTAACCATAAGCCTATTCTGTTGACGGTATCAAAAGCTTTTGTGAGGTCTAAGAACGTTGTGTATAGGCTGCTGTTCTGTTCCTGCAGTTGTTTGGCAGCAAAGATCATGTACGCTGTTCCACGCCTTGAACGGAACCAACACTGACTTTCTGGTAGTAGCCCATTTTCAAGGTGGCGAAGAAGTCTGTTCAGAATTATACGTTCAAGAATCTTTCCAGCAATGGATAGGAGTAAAATTCCTCTTCATCTTTAACCCATCTTCCCAAGTCAAGGGTTTTTGATCCGCTCCGCTCCACATAAATCCTTGACCGAATAGGCAGAGTTTGACGGGGTTAGAAATGCGCTCTCTGATTGGCTTCATTCCAGTGCGCATGAACCAATCAGAAATGTCGTTTTAGTTTACCATAAACTGATTGATAACGGAAAAAACATGTGGTCTTGTGGTTCCCGTTTGCTGTCAGCTGGTAAGTATATCTACATATTAGATGTTAAATATTGTGTCTTTAACAAAGGTTGAATGTTTGGAATAGAATATTGAACATGTGTGCAATTACTACTCTAACTGCGAACTTTCCACATTGAAAATGACACTAAAGTTTGTCTGGTGCAGTAGAAAATTCGGACTGAACATGCACTTGCATGAATGTTTGTATAAATATAAGAAAATATATTACATTTTCTAATTGAAAATAAATAAAAGAAAATATATTACGTTTTCTAAATGAAAATAAAGCGTTTGAAACGGAGAAATTGCTATTCATCTACCGAGTTTATTGATTATTTTTTTGTGTGACAGGTTTCAATGTCGACAATTTTTTAAGGATGCAAAACAGGATTATAGATTATTAAGGGCATACTAAATTGCTAAATATTCCTTAAAAAGCGTATATATATATATATATATATATATATATATATATATATATATATATATATATATATATATATATATATATATATATATATCTGTTTGTTTAGAATGGCATCCACAGACCAAGATAAGTGTAGACTATGTGCTGAAATTTTGTCAAAGAAACAAAGAAGACAGATTTTCTCAGATGCTTTCAAAGTTTTTTGTCAGCTTGTGGAAGTCCTGGGTTATAAACCTACTACTTCAGATGGACTTTCTAAGTGTGTTTGCTTTCGTTGCTTCAATAGACTTAACAAGATTTCAAAAATTGATTTTGACTTAAACAACAGACTACCGTTCACGGTAGCTCAGTCGGTAGAGCGCTCGCTCCGTGATCGGGAGGTCGTGAGTTCGAATCTCGGCCGCGACAGACCTAAGTCGATAAAAAATAGGTAGCAACTGTTCCTTCGCCATGCGCTCGGCAATTTGGAGTGAAAGTTGCGGGTCTTTCGGATGAGACCTTAAAAACCGAGGCCCCGTGTCACGGCAGGCGTTGGCACGATAAAGATCCCTCACTGCTCAATGGCCCTGAGTGCCGAGTAAAGGTCAAAATTTGAAGCCCTTCACCGGTATATGGTGACGTCTCTATATGAGTGAAAAATTCTCGAATGGGACGTAAACCAATATACAATCATACAATAAACAACAGACTAGATCAATTAAAACTGGAAAAGAGAAACATTATATGTGAATTAAGAAAGAATGTCACGTTCAGTAAACCAAACCAGACACATTTATTTGCACCTAGTGATGAACTTTGCAAGACACAGAGTCCAACTTTTCATAGTGTAGCAGTACAGGATAGTTTACCATCTGCAAATCGCCATGACATTTGTGTTTTTTCTTCACTAAAATTATTTCTTCAGAAAAGGAGCCATCTCTTCCCGCGCGTCCCATCTGCTGTACGAAAGTATCTAAATCATGGGGTACCCCATAATGGATAACACAGTGTAGATTTTTAAAATTCACACCCATTCCGGCCGCATTGGTACATATCAATACTCTGATTTTCCCAGTTTCACTTCCCATATCTGTGCGAATATTTTCTTTCACAAATTCAGGGGTCTTACTATGGTACATGTTCACGAGCTCTGTACTCCCCATGAGTCTTGAAAACATGCAGAATAAGTGGGAACAATCCTTAATTGAGGAACAAAAAATTAAATGTTTTTCAAAGGCACTCTTCTTCTGCATTACTCCTTTAATCAGCCAGTGAAATAGCTTTTCATCATCTTCATTGTTTGGTATTGTGATTACAGTAATTTTAATGTTTTGGCGATCAGGGTTGTCCAGAATCACAATACTGTCTTTCTTGAAGCAAAGACTTTTCATGATCTTTTTTCTGTTTGTTGGACTTGCTGTCGCTGTCAAGGCCAGTACTGGAACATTTAAACTTAAGGACCGAAGTTCACCAATATGAGCAAACCACTCTCTGAATGGGCTTTCTTGTGCTGAGCCATGGCCCCTAAAAAAATTGCAAAGCTTTGTTTTTAGAACAGCTATGTATATTTATATTTAAGCCACCCATATAGCCTTACTGAAAGGTTCTTCTCATTTGATGATTTAAAAATACTTCATCAAGAACATTGACTTCAAATTAAATAAATTAAATGATTTGAAAATATATATAAAATTACCATTGCACAACTGTATGGGCTTCGTCGACCACCGTTAGTCGATGGTTGTTTTGGAAAGAAGAACTTTTTATGACGTCTCGCCACATCTCGTTCCCCACAAGGAGTTCTGGGCTTCCAAATACAAAATGATAGTGACCATTTCTTATTCCGTGAATGTCATCTTCTTCAGTTCCGATGTGTATGGCTTTGTACCCTAATCCTTTCAGGCGATCAACTTGTTCTTTCATGATCGATGTTAACGGCGCAATGATCAACGTTGTGCCGTTGTCAAATAAAATTGGGGCACACTCGTAAGTCATTGACTTACCACTGCCAGTTTTAGTTCCAACAAAAACATCCTTAAAATTGAATAATCCAGTTATGGCTTGTTTCTGCTTTAAGGTTAAAACTATGCCGAATTTATTGCAAATTTCCAAAAACAACTTGTCTATGGGGGCAGCCATATTGTCTCGCTATGGCTGTTTAATAGGCTTTTTCTGATTCGCCAATAGCAGAGGTCAACAGAGTTCAAAAATGTGTAATCTCGCTAGATGGCGCGATAGTAAATCCCGTCAAACTCTGCCTATTCGGTCAAGGGTTTATGTGGAGCGGAGCGGATCAAAAACCCTTGACTTGGGAAGATGTCTTTAACCTAGCCCATAACTATTGCGCTGTCAAGGGTAAGGCTTTAATATTTGACATGAGTGTTCATTATGACAAGACGTTTCCATTGGTACAGAATTTGGATCATGTGACCTCAACTGTGACCTTTGACCCACATTTGAAAAACTTTAACATTGGCCATAACTATTGCACTGTAGTCTAGTCCCACTCCAGAACTGTGTTACCATCGGGGGGATAGGTTTTCACAAACACATCTTGTTAACAATGACCATACTGGCAAATATTGTGGTAATATTTCAATATAGACCATAATGTAGTAAATATATAAAAGTTAAATCAAAAAACACTTCGCTACATCGCTTTCGACTGTTCAAGAAACTCGAACAAATTCAAAACAACAAATGGTATTATTTTTATGCTTTATTTTTTCAGAAAAAACTTCAAAAGTATAATCTTGTCTAACTTACCGATTTTTCAGTTTTCTGATGTTGTTGTTGGGGTGGTGATTCAAAATAAAAGTTTGAAAAAAAAATGTTAATGCACCTAAATTTTGTTTCTAATGCGTTATTATAAGTTTCTTTTCAAAGATATTTTTAACTGAAATTTTGAAAAGTTGATTTGAGCATTGTATTGTGTATGATGTCAAATCACGGATTGATGTGCTGATAAAATATAGAACAAGCTTCTCGATCTAAACATTACATTCTCAATAACTATAGTTTACAATTGTACACTTCAGTATATACTTTGATAAATTGTGAAACTTTATTTTAGAACTTTTTTTTGTGGAGATTTTGAAGATTAAAATCTTAAGTCGATAAAATGGACGCAACATTTAAAAATAATACGGGGATATACAAGTAATTTTTTCCATTTTAAAAATATGTACGAATGATTTGGAGAACATAAAATATAATATGAAATTCACAGTTAAATACTTTGCTTAACTAATGTAAAAACTTTGATCGAGTATAGTAAAACTTACAAAACTTTAGTAAATTATACGTAACTTTAATAAACTATAGTTGACAACTTGACTAAAGTGTTGTTTGTAAGGGTTCATAAACATTTGTCTTCACAGCTTAAATGGTAAATTTGAAACGCATGACTTGTTATAAACATATTAAAACTGTTTTATACATTCCATACTTGTATATCTTAATTGATCAACTTGAGCGAGAATTACGCCGAAGCTTTCAAAAGGTAACCGTTCACGGTAACTCGGGTGTTGCTAAAACGCAGAACGGAAAACGGAACGGAAAACAGAAAATCTTATTTCAAATTATTTACTTCAAGCATATATAAATCAGACAGGAACCAGTATTCTTTATCATATAGTTTATGTCTAATTAAAAAGAAATAACACAACAATGTAATTTATTCATGACCCCCCCCCCCCCCAAAGAACTACATGCGGTGGTCAATGAAATACATACTAATGAGACACACATCACTTGTCCAAATCTAATTTTTAAGGCTTATTCACTAAAGACAAAACTCTCTTTTTTATCATTTATTATGAAACAGGCAAATGTGTTTTAAAACAGGGGATGGGGGGGGGGGGCTGACAAAAAGAGAGAATAATTATGTACACATCTGTGTTCTAGACAACGATCACCGACAGTAAGGAAAGAATAGAGGACATTTGTTTCCATAACATTTAAAAAATATGTTGCCAAAAATAAAATTCTCTAGTTGGCCCTTAACTTATTTTTGTTGATTAATTTTTTATATATATATATGAAATATATGGAGATAACGAACAGTATTCAAGCTCAAAAGTCCATCAAACAATACAAAATAGGAGCAGAGCAAACACGGACCTCTAAACATCAGAGGTGGGATCAGGTGCCATGGAGGAGTGAGCATCACCTGCCGACCGGTCACACCCGCCGTGTGCTCCTTGTCATGATCGGGAAATAACGGAAAAATCCGTCGACAATTCAGTGTGTAAATAATGGCCTAACAATTAGTATGAAAAACGTCAGTCAGCATTTGACTCCATGATAAATTGTATTTGCTGACAAGGTCATTGTATCGACCATAGAACTTACGAAATGATGACTTTAAACGAGACTGCTGATATTCTTGTTTCATCAACTTGTTTGTCAATAATTTACCTCGTTTTAGAAATTGTTCATACGTAGAGCATACTCTTGCGTATCGAATCAACTGAGAGATATATACCCCGTATGCCAGTGATGAAGGTATATTGCTGCATAAGTAAGGGAAGTTGACGATTGAAAAGTTAAAGTCATCACGTTTATCGTAAAACTTGGTTGTTAGATTACCATTAACGTCTTTTTCAAGTAAAATATCCAAATATGAAACAGATGTGTCAGACTCTGTGGTATCTTTTATCTCAAGCTCACAAGGATATATCGTATCGACATAAGAATGAACATAGCCATTGTTAATTGACAATACATCGTCGATATATCTAAATGTCGAGTTGAAGGCCACAGCAAGTGTGTTCCTCTTTTCACGTACAAGATTTTGGACAAATTCTGCTTCATATGAATACAAAAAAAGGTCTGCTAATAACGGGGCGCAATTGGTACCCATGGGAATTCCAATAGATCCAATATATATATATATATATATATATATATATATATATATATATATATATATATATATAAAGTTAAGTATGGATTCTGCAGTCAGTAGCTATATAAACACTACCTGTACCCTTCTAAAATGTTTAATATGTCCAAGTAATCATCTACATAATTATACAGGTTAAACCTAGAAGTCCCATCCACTCATTCTTAAAGTAGTTTACTTTCGATATTTCATATCCTCCGACGTTGGAATTAACAAGGTTTTACTGGTACATGTATTATTGAAAAGCTAAATATATTGAACAGTGATCAATCTTCATAAATTCTGTACAAAATGCGAATCCTGAACAAGGTAATCCTGGGAACACCAGAGATCAGGTGCCTATGGCAAGTAAGCAACCCCTAGGAGTGGTCACACGTCGTGAGCATTTATTGATGAGGTAAATGGTGTAATTAATGACGTTTGATGAGCATCAGCGTCCCCATCACTTCTGTCCCGTCCATGATAATAGGATCCCATACATAAATCCAGTAGGGTGAGGCCCAGGGACCATTGAGGAAAGCTTGGTGACAGGCATTGAACCACCACCCTCCCCCATTATAAACAGCGCAGCTATCACCACCAAGTCTATCGTTATCCCTGTCTGAGGTGCTGAAGTACATCCCAGACACATTGAGGCCAGGAATATGAGTGTTTCTTATACTGTCACCTGTACACATAAAACATACAACATAAAAACAACACATAATAAAGATTCTGATTTAACGCGAGCACTGAATGTCATAAATATGACTCCTAAACATCAAATTGCTAAAAGATAAGTTTGTAAATTGACTGTTCAAAAGGGTTTTGGATTGCAAAAAGTTTAGGAATATGACAAAAAAAGATAAATTTTCTTTTGAGATTGTTGCTTTACTTGCTACATTTATGTGATGATAAACTCCTTTCGAACAGTAAGTACTACACATACATACATGACGTCTTTTGTACCTCAACTTAAACCTCAAGTAGCTTCTAACAGACACGTACCTAAGGTTCCCCTGGTAGTCCCCTTCAGGGAAAGTTTATAATTCTCTGATTCATCAGAAACAGTGAATCCATCGTACAACTGATACAGACTAGTACCATTCACTAGTGTGATGGAAACATAGAGGGAGCAGTCCTTTCTCTTTGTTAACTGATGGATTTCGTTATTTCCTGTATTAACATTAATATATTTGATATCAGTAAAAAGGCTACAACAGTTATTAGTTTTTTGTAAAATTTCCATTAAGTGAAAATCATATTCTATTCTCAAGCCTTTTCAATCAGAAAATATTTCCCTTTAAAACTCGGGATATATGATTTTTGTCCCAACATCGCTACAAATATCATTTGGATTGTGGATTTTAATCAAAATTTATTTTACCTATCCAAACATCCTGTTCCGGTGAACCAAAACCATTCTTGTATTCCGTCCAATTCCTATCAAATCTCAGAGATCCTTTTACTCGCTTTTGAATGGCCTTGAAAGAATGAAAATCTTGAAGATTTTTTTTTCAATCATTAAAAATCATAAAAAATAAAGATTTTTTTTTTAGCTAGAAAAGGATTCCTTCGGCTATAATTGCCAGAGTGTTTTGTAGTATAATTATGACTTTAATTTGAATTTAAGTAAATAGACATTCCTGCTAATCAAATATTTATACTATTTACAAAGCTTCCAGTTAAACTCTCTCCTCAAGACTAAGATAATTTCTCAGTTATTATTCCAAGAATATAAAAATGGCTCTCAGTAAGTTTGATTATGGTTAATCTTCAAAACATTTTTCATAGTGTATTAACAAATACATTTGATTTAATTCCTGACACAGATTATTTAAACAGAAGCAAGATGAGAGCCATAAGTTATTCATCGATGAGTTGTATAACTTTTAATGAGGAAGCAATGTACTTAAACAGACAAGGATCACAACTATTATTGAAGTAAAAACCCAGGTTTTCTAATAGAAATAACCTAGTAATATCCTTGCATGTTGAAAGAAACAAACAAGTTTTAGAGATGCTTTTAGAGATGCTTTGTCATCAAATTCAAATTGAAACTCCTTTCGATTGTTTTTAAGGTATTGTTTGGAAATGTTTAGAAAAGAAAATAAAGAAAGTATTGTAACAGATAAACAAAATATATATAATTATTTGCAAAAATATTTACTTTATCATATCCGTCCTAAAGATAAGCCTAGGCGTCATTTGTTATGCACGTAACCTTTTCCAGTAAAATCTTAGAGGAAAATTAAATGAATAATTCTGGGAAAAAAACAATTTTTTCCACCAAGGACAAATAATTTTCTATACTTTTAAATTGCCAAGCAGTTTCACTAAACTTAGACACAGAATGAAATTGAAGTTTATTTAATCTAAACGGTCTTAATACTTCAATTAAAATGCCAAAATTAAATCATCGCTAAAAATTCATCTTTAGGGTAATGCCAAAACATACATTACTTCGATTGGCAAAAGAAAAGGTCAAACAAAATACATTTCCTCACCCTACATGCCTAACTCAAGATTTATTTCGAAAAATTATACCGTCCATCCTCCATCCATTGTTTCCATGTCACAGTAAACTCTGACAGGACGGGAGCTGGTCTCATAGGGATAAATTTCGTACACACCTGAATTAGTGTGACCATTTTCACGGAAGTCTTTACAATCTATAGGAAGTACTGAAACAGAAAAAGAAATGTTTTTGAAACATACAGAGTTTTGTATTGGACAAGAAATATATCTACCGAAGTTGCGAGTAAATATACAGGTTTTAAGAAGGAAATACAGGGTATCTACCAATAAAACCAGTATATAGTTATGACTGAATTGTGTCCTTAATGTAATAAGTTGTAGACTATTATCTTTATTATTTTTTCGTTTTTTGGATTTAGAATTATTTTAATTTTCATTCATTTACCGGTATTTTGAGTTAAGAATTTAGATGGAAAAATGGAAAAGTTTCTCAACGCTTAATTATTGGTTTTAACGACGATTCAAGAGCATGAATCCAATAATTATTTACAAAAAAACATCTTGCGTTTTAAAAGATATTCCTGCTTAATATTTCATTATGAAAACCCCTATATATGTCGGCCTAATTGAAATTTATAAGGGATTGTGTGAAATCTTAGGGCTACATTTATCTTATATTTTTGCATCAATTGATGAAAACTATGTTTCAATTACTTAGTATAGTTTAGATACACGTACGGGGCATAATTACATCATACCCTTTCAGACATCACAATATCAAATTTGAATTGAGGTACATGTATCTGCATGTATTTTAGAAAAATGGGGTCTAAATTGTCTTTTGTGACGGATTTATCACTGTTATTTTACAGAAAAATGTTTTCATTTAAAAACCATCCAATCAGAAAGCTCCTTGAAATATTAAAAATGAAATTTAAATCCAAATTATGTTTTATTGTTTCTGGGTCTGCATCGTAAACGGTACTTTCTCAGGTTAAATACAATAAAATACACGTTATTCTTTTCAATTTTACATTTTTCTCACTTTCACATGCCAAACTTTTCAAAGCATTAAATTTTGTTAAAAGGTAAATTTAATAAAAACACAGTCACGAGAATGTATTTGCATTCACGAAATAAGATGTATAAAAAATACTCTTTGAAATCAACATAATGTGAACAAATTCAGTAAATGTGACAATTCAAGAGAGTGCTTTAAACGTACTCCCGAAAATAATCATAAAATAAATAATAAATAAGTCTTTTTGACCTATTACAACATTAGTCACAGACAAAGCATATTGTAACATTGTTTCAATAATTTTTTTTTTTTTTTTGGGGGGGGGGATTTCAATTCCATTAAAAATATCGATGATTTATAATTCAGTACCTACAATTGTGTAAATAATATTTCCAATCAGCCTCCTCCGACATTTCAGATGTGAAGATCTTCTTGTGGGTGCGACATCTCATCAATTTACCATTGAATCCAAAGAAGGTGCAGTTCTTCCGGCACATCGTAGAACACTCACTCAAGGACCTCAGCTTGTATTCTTCCAAAAGTTCGTTATTTGACTTTCTATTGTGAAATTCCGTTTTTGTCGTATATTTCCTCGAAATGAAAATAGCTCGAGATAAAATTGGGGCAACAAATAAACAGAAAACAATACGAACACTCATATTGTACGGAGTGGCGGCAACTAAGCGATCTTCCAGCTGCAAATTATAAATATCAGATCCTAAGTGTCCAAAGGGAAAAAGATTGATTCGTTAATTGTTCATTTTTTGCAGAGTCTGTAATCTTCTGTTTCTTTTTATGGACAAAAACATCGATTGGATACTCATTACGATTGATAAAATATTCATAGCCTGATCAGAAATCTAGTGTTTGTTCGTCTCAGGTTAAATGGTCTAAATTTACTTATCCGTTAATTCGTATGAAAACACGTTAAAGAATGGATTATGATGTGGACACCACATAAAAACAGAATTATATCTTTTTAAATAGCTTTAAATAACACTGTATTCTGTTTATTGAGGGGAAATATATGTACATGTTTTTGACCCAGTGCGTCTTTTAATACAACCACATGTACCATTTTAGATAAGAATCCACAAATTATATTAGAAATGTATTTAGGGAATAACTTTTCTTTTGCTTTGATTGATCAGGTAATCAATCAATTTGCCTGCATGATAATTTGCATAAATGTGTTGATACTTTACATTTTCTACAATACGTGTCACTTTTTCAACATCTGGACTAAAAAGACAATTATTGATCTGAATAACCACTTTTTATGTAATGGATATATGCCGAATACTTTTCTATATGTAAAATTATCAGACTGTTTGAGGCCCGTCAGGGCCGAAAACAGATAATTTTACATATAGAATTGTATGAGGCATATATCTTACTTAAAACATTGCTATTTAAATGTCCAAAAGTTACCTGGAGGAGTCCGATAATTACACAATAGGAGTTCAGGCATCAATAGTTTTCTACCTGAAACCATCTAATAAGTAGACAAAAGAAAAGAAAAAAGTTTTTTTTCTTTAGACAGTAAAATCAGTGAGTGAACTCTTTTGTTTCATTCATTCATTCATTCAATGGCAGTCGTTTGGCTTAGCAGGAACTATGGACAGTGGTCAGGTGATGAAGGATTTTTTTATGATTCGGAATATTTTTTTTTTATTAAGTGCGTTTGACACTGATACAGATACAGCGTTGGATGGGATGATATAATGAAAATCTTCGGTTTTAAAAGTGCGGTCATTGGCGAACAAACCTCGTCAAATGATGAGATTCGCAGACTGGTTCTTTATCAGAAATGGATTTAAATTGGCTTATTCACAGAGCTGTATCGAAAAGGCTTTGCAAAAAACCGAGTGGAAAGTGTTACTTTTGAGGAAGATTAAAACTGCAGTTTCTTCTTGGATTTGCTTTTTTTAACAACTTAATTTCCTCGCGTTCGCTTTCCCTGAATTTTTTCTCCCTAACTTTTTTTTTTGGTTTTTGGACAAATTAAACCTTGATTTCACTTTAGTTGTTGTTTTTTAACTACTGTCCGATTTTGTTATCACTGCCGTCCGATAATGTATTATTGGACTGTTAATTATTATTATCGGACGGCTACAGGTAAATTTTTAGACTGCAAGAACAAAGGCATGACGTCAAAGCAATGTTTTAATTACTGATATTGGCTTAAAGTATTCATCGTAACTTTGTTTTTCTTCATTTTTTCAGTACCTTAGCTAATAATTTATTTTAAAGATCGAAGTTTGGAATTGAAATTTCTTCGAGGGACACTTTTTATTTCATTCTTGTTAATTTGTTCGAAGGTTTTTTGAAGACTTTGTAATGTAAATTATTGATATGTGCTTCTCATCAAGGAACCCAAATCTATAACCTTAACAGAAATAAAATAATTACCTCCCTTATCTTCAAATGCTCATTAACAGGAAATTGAATTTGAAGTCATCCGTGATCTCTCGCCCATACCAAATGCTACTTAAGCAATAAATTGCATAAGAATTGAATTCATAAAACGGAACAGAAATTTGACATCAGTATCAAAATTATGCAACTGTTGTTAGATTCCTGAACATTTATTATCTTTTTTCCTAAGATATATTGTAGGATTTTCTTTGTACAAGAAAATGCATTAATGATGTTTGTATTCATTATTTCTTTAGAAAGAAAATATTAATTTCTACTATGATAAAAGGATAGGTAAGAATACATTACTTTGCAACTGCAGTGATTTCTCCTTGAACATTATGTTTTTTTTAGAGTCTGAAGAGAGAATTCTGAAAAGTTGTTAATACCGTGAATAGGCAAAAAGCATGAGCTTACCTCTGAAATAACACGTGGATCCGAAAATAACGTTTGAAGATATAAGTTCCGCAGCACAGTTAAGGTGCCAAATGGAAATATCGGCGAATTTTTTAGATAGAAAATACATTCTTTACAAGGATGGGCATTTCTTTGTAGGACTTTACTATTATCGGACAAATGCAATGTGGTTGAAAACTAAATGTTGAGGACGATTAGATTTCTTATTAAGACTTGTCACGTGATGTGGCAGTCACGTGATTTTAGCAAATATACCTGAAGTATTGAGGTCATCTATAAATTCTAATATTGCAAGGGCTTAACCAAGTTAAAAATCTAAGTTTAATATTATTTTCAACACTCTTTGTAGTTTGTGAAAAGTGCTGCGAACCTATATAGATTCTACTATCTAATTGCTAAAATTACATTTGTTAGACCGTATGTTGAACATTTTGCTGGTCAAGTACATTAAATATAGATATAATTAATTCATTTGCAAGATTTCAACAGGTTCGCAGCACTTTTCAAATATCTTCATACTTCTTGAGTTTATGTGTAAAAGCTTGTCATAATTCACTGAGGGTATGCCCTTGCAAATATCGATTTATTACGACTCTTCTATTACCCTTCAATGAATCTGCATACAAATACATGTATACGACAGTATCGCTTGTCTAGGGAATGTACGGGAAGTATATGAATAAAATCATAAAACAGACCTTGCATACAAGTTAATGGCCTCTTATATATCTACAATTTATATTTAATTTAATTACAAAATACATTTTTCATTGTATAAATATAACTTGATCCGCCTCTCACTGCATACAAACTGCGTCAAATTTTCTGATATGATGTCACATTGACAAGTGCATTGCGATCAGTGAATTGTTTATATATTGCTGTGTGGGATTTAACCAACGACAATAATGCATGCACTAGTTAGTATTGATGTAGTTTAAAGCTATTCATAAGTTTAAAATGGCAAATCATTTCATTTTGTGGTAATTTGAAGAACTTATATTTTTGTGTGATGTCATAGTAAGCATTTCCCGTATAAATTAGGGCCCGCCTCCTTACTGCAGCCTTAACTCTCCTGCGAGTCTACTGGTTGATTTATAACTATTTTTGTTTGTTCATGACCTTTTACTCATAAACGTAAGGAAGGTTTGTTTTTAGTTTTATTTTACATATATTAACATTTCCAACTGTTTTCTCGGTGATAACTCTTTGAAACTTAGATGTGTTAATTTCTCGATAATAACAAATGTCGCCAAGTGAAAGGTCGAGTGCCAAATATGCATGTCAATCTCTCGCGGCTGTCTTTATGTCTGACATTAGTGGAAGGAATTATGGAAATAAACATGGATTGCCTCGTGTATTTCAAATCTATTAGACACCATTATTTAGATTTATATTTACAATTTTATTTCGCATATAAATCTAAATATAAGGAATTTCTGTCTAGTTCGCTCGCTAGGCAAATTATCCCACGTTTCCAACTATAGTTGAAGCCCTGGCATACCCAAAAAGCTAGATAAAGATTCCCTGATTATAATGATTGAATAGTTCTATTTTCAGGATATCCACTACGATTTTGTCTTTAATTACGGGCTGTTCCTGATAATATGTTTTCAATTTACAAATACATTCGCTAGTTTGAGGGTTAGTTTACAATTGGTAGTACAAAGCTACTTTTTACGAGGTTTACTTCCGCAAGTGGTGAAGCTTGTGAAGTACTCGGTGAGAACAATATGTTCTCAAACTTAATTCTGGGAACATAATTATTTTATTGGAGGACTATAATGCATAAAACCATCTTTTTTTGCCAGCTGATGCATCTTACAGCTATCGTGCAAAGTTATAAACCTATTACATGCTACAAGCAAAGCCACGTCCGCCATATTTCTCTCTTCTCCGATAGTTAAAATTCTAAATAGATGTGATCAATCGCAGTCACAGGCCATTGCGAACGTTTCAAGAAGGCTGATTGTGCAAACTCCACCTATATGTCAAGGCTGTACTGTCATGCGCTAAATTTTGCAAACTAAATATGATACAAATTAAAAAAAATAAATAAATAAAATAAATTGAAGATTAGGGGTTTTTTTTAATTTTACAAACGAGTGATATTTTAAACATGAAAAATATAAAGTAGACCGTTTAACATTGCTTATCGAACATAGACAGTATAGGCTTCATAAGTGGGTGGTCCATACGGTACATGTAAGTAAAACAAAAGTTATAAAAACTAGAAATATTCTATACAAAGTTTTGTCTTACGGTAACTTACGCCTACACAAACACAGCGTAATCAAAAACAACAATATGAAACTGGGCTGCCCGCTTATCCATAACTAGTAAGGATCTATCCATACCTCCGCAGCTAGGTTAAGGACGCCCATGAAATATACGCCTTTATATTTTCAGGGAAAATGAATACAATTTTAATATTTTTTTAAAAGCAGTAGTTTTGATAAATGTGAATTATGGTGTTTGCATTTGTATAAACCAGGTCTCTGCTGAGTTCGGGCAAAGTGACATCGCTTACATCAGCTGTTTGTCACGTGACAGGTTTAAAATTGAACCATATATGTACTACTACAAAGATCGTAAAAGTTCAACGATATATAGGCATCATTCCGCAATAAAATTTATTTTGTTTTCTTTGAGACAAATTCCT